TTCATTCTCTCACACACATGGTAAATGAAGGGAAGCAAAGATGCTTTGGTGGTGTTGAAGACATGTAGACTCACTGTTTGCTTGCTTCCTTATGCTCTGACTCAATTTTATGCATGCAAACACAGACTTATACACATGCAGATACAAGCAGTTACCCGGTATAGAGAAATGAATTCACAATAATTTGTATTGTCCTAACATTCATTATATCAGAATACAGTGCAATATACCAATGGTGTTTATTATTAAGAAGCAAGGTAAGCAATTGCCTTGTAGAATGATCTTTAAAATTATATCTGGGAGACAATTATTTTCTCATTCTCTTTAGAAAGTGAAAAACAATCCACATTATTATTATTATTATTTTTTATGTAACTTGTACAGGAAACTTCCTAAACCAGCATTTGTAGCTCAGTTACACAATGGAAAGCTCGACCATATATCTGTTTCCTCAGCCCTACACTTGTATAGGTCACCAGTGCTAGACAATGGATGAAAGTTATTGATTTAATTTACACTCAAGCGCATCCTCTCATATCCATATAAATATGATTCAGACCAATCTAATATACTTTGGAGAACATTGAGATGCTGGAAATTCACCATTGATATTTAATGATCACAGTTAATTGCTTCCAGTATCCAATTTTCTGAACAGTGTATATAGTAGCGCAGGTAAGTTAGCTTTTATATTCAGGAGGGATCAGTTGTCAATCATGTCTTCAAAAGTAAAGACGTTATCATTTATCTTCTTTACTTTGTTTCCCATCCACAATCTATGATGCAGTTGAAGATAAGTCAGTTATTATAGTAATTATGTAACTACAGGTATACAATATACAGTACTTTCTTTTAAGTAAGTTATTGGTGTGTCATGTTTTGGAAAAGAATATTACTCTTTGTTTTGTTGATGTTCAGACACCATTTATTACAGTTTCTTAGAGACAGTAAGGGAACATAAAATTGTATTATTCATACTGTTCTTTATTTAACTATTATATTTCTACTTTAGTTTTATTAGTGAAAAGTTCCAGTAATGAAAATGCAACTTTTATTATTATTATTGTTGTTGTTGTTGTTATTGTTATGATTGTTATTGTTATTATTACAGTATTATTATTAAGTGAAAACTAAGATTTGAAACAAAAGTTTTATTTATTTATTTTATACAGAAGGTATTTTAACTCTTTGTGTACAGAGGTCTCTGTACTGAATACAATCGTCTGGCATTAGCCAAATAGAATATTAAAAGTGGCTTTCCCATGGTGAAGGGGTTAAAGGAGTACGTTAAACCCAATGAGTACATATAGACAGATTCTTTAGGCAGGCACTTATGCCTGTTAATATATACATCTACTCCACATCTTACTTTATAGAAGATTTTTGTGAGGAGAATTGAATTTTGAAATATTTTTTCTTATTACAGTACTATATTTTTCCAGAATTTCTGTTGTGATTTAGCCTTTACCAATTTAGGTGAAGAGTTGCTTTATTCCTTATATCCAAATGAAATTTTTCTGTTGCAGACAGTAAATCATCATATTTTACTCTTTGTTACTGCACCTGTATAGTACAGTATATTCATTTTACATCTAATCATAACAGATACAGTGTATGTTACATCAGAAATTTTATGAGAAATTAAGACGTTGAAAAATTAAAGGAAAACGAGCACAGTTAAGAAGCAAAAGTATATTGAGTTGATTTTGGCTTTCCATGTATATATATATATATATATATATATATATATATATATATATATATATATATATATATATATATATATATATATATATATATATATATATATATATATATATATATATATATATATATATATATATATATATATATATATATATATATATACAGTGACCCCTCGTTTAACGAACACCTCGGTTAACGTAATTTCGATTAACGAACTGCCTTCCATAAGGATCTTCAATTCGGTTAACGAAAAAAAATTCGCTTAACGAACTTCTTACGAACCGACCTCAACATGTTTTCGCTTGCACTGACCGGGCAACCAGCTTTAGTATCAGTCCGCCAATACATTAATCGGTTCTAGGGCTTAAATTCCTTACTATTTTTGTAAATATCAAGAAGTTTATACTATTCAATAATTTTAAAAGTTTAATATTCAATTTTTTAGTCATTTTAACAATTATTGAACAAAATTGAAGGTAAAGTGACTAGTTTAATGCGCGGCATCCAGCCTCTTAACACAGCAAACAGGCGTCAGTCTCTCTCTGTTTTCACTGGAGGTAACATCTTGCTTGAGACTCTCTTCAACTAAACGCTTTTTTTCTGTGTTTCCAAGCAAATTATTGGTCATTTTGAAATATATTTTATATATTGACAATATATAATGCAGTGCAGCGTTGATTTAAAGAAAATAATCTTGAATTAAACCAGAGAGCTAAAATTTTATGGGTGAAATGGCACCATGGGGTGACTTCTCTTCCACCCCAATGCCTTCTCTTCTTCCTTCTCCTCCACCCCCATTCTAAATCCCATCATCATCATCATCCAGGAGCCTTCTACATACACACCTCAAAGTAAGTGAACTTTTCTACCATTTTTGTTGAATTTAGGAAATTTTCGGTGAGCTGGAACCAATTACCCAAAAACCCATTGAAACAATGGTTTCGGTTAACGAACGACCTTCTGGAACGGATTGAGTTCGTTAACCGAGGGGCCACTGTATATATATATATATATATATATATATATATATATATATATATATATATATATATATATATATATATATATATATATATATATATATATACATACATACATACATACATACATACATACACACACAGAGTGGTCCCTCGATTAACGAACACAATTGGTTCCACAGAGTTGGATGTTAATCGAAAATTTCGTTAACTGAATCTATTATTTCAATGGGATATTGGGTAATTGGTTCCAACTCACAGAAAAAGTATACATACAAAGTACTGTATACCGGTAATAGAATTAACAAAACATTAAATATAAACTAAATACAGTACTGTACAGTATACTGTACAATAATAAATAAAAAACAATAGAATACTGTATTTTAACTTACTTTGAGGTGTGTATGTCGTATTCCCGGCAGCTTTGTTTACATATCAAACAGCTGATTGTAGAGACAGTTGATGATGAAATGCCATATTCTTTACAGAGTGCATTGGTTCTAATGTCTTCATGTTTCAAATTAATTTCTGCACTGTATGTTATCAATATGTTAACTAAATTTCAGAATGACCAATAATTTTTTTGTAAAATGTAAAATTATTCAAGAGACCAACAAACTCGATGTTCACTCCACTGTAAACAAAGTTAAACTGAGGAGCGTGGGTGATTCGATCAGCTGAAGGGCACACAAAAACTGTTCCTTGTATTGTATATACAGTATTATCAATATATTAACCAAATTTCAGAATGACCAATAATTTTAATATAAAAAAAGGCAAAAATATTCAAGAGCACAACTTTCTTCATATTTACCCCACTGGAAACGAATGTAAACATACAACCATTTCCTTTATTGGCGGACTAGTCGATCAGCTGATGCGCACAACAAAGTGTGTTTCTCGTAAGGCTGTCATTAATCAAAGTTTTGTTCGTCAATGGAACTTAAAATCATTATGGGAGCTAATTCGTTAACCAAAATTTTGTTAATTGAACTGTTCGTTAATCGAGGGACCACTGTGTATATATATATATATATATATATATATATATATATATATATATATATATATATATATATATATATATATATATATATATATATATATATATATATATATATATGTAAAGTCATTCTGCATAACTTATATTTAAATGTCAGGAACAGTTCTTCTCTAACTTAAGCACATAAATCTCCCTTAATATTGAATCTGACTTAACCTAACCATATACCAGCTATTCTATTTTTAAATGTATATATATATATATATATATATATATATATATATATATATATATATATATATATATATATATATATATATATATATATATATATATATATATATATATATATATATATATATATATATATATATATATATATATATATATATATATATATATACATTTCAAAATAGAATAGCTGGTATATGGTTAGGTTAAGTCAGATTCAATATTAAGGGAGATTTATGTGCTTAAGTTAGAGAAGAAACTGTTCCTGACATTTAAATATGTTAAGTTATGCAGAATGACTTTTACACATTAGTCATGATCGAGTACAATATCCCAGGTAATAAAAAAATTACTCCTAGGGAAATGAATATGAATAAGAAAACACAAAAACAGATAAGTTGAGTGGTTTAACCTCACTATAACAATACAGTATGATGAGAACTGAAGGACAATATGAAAAGAAAGAGGAAGAATTATGGGATATTTTTCATCATAGATAAACATTAGTGTTCATGATTTATAAAAGGAAGAGAAAATTAATAAGGAAAATATAGACTTGAAATTGGTGAGAGTTCAGTTTATTAGGAAAAGCTTGAACATAGCGGTGTGTTCAGTATGGTATAGAAAATATATATCATTGTATATATGGCGTGTAATATTTATTTACAACTGTAGGCATTATCACTATAGTCTTGTAATGTTTGTATTTTTTCTTTTTACTTCTAAGGATTACTGTGAGAACTGTTTACAGATTCTATTAACACTATGTATGAGGAGATATTTTCAATCTTAGAATATATATGGAAGCTTAAAATCCATCTGGTCTAAAGTGTAGCCATATAAGATGTTCCATAAGTCAACAAGACATAGCCAGGAAAACTAGGTTAAGTCCAAGTTGTATGGCTGTTTTATATGAAAGTTGAAAGAAAAAGATATACTAAGATGAATTGAATAGGATTTTTCTTAAACTAGTTTCGTAGAAAAAAAAAGTAGTTGTTGATACATTTGAGTTAAAATGGAAATGTATTTGTGAGGTGTTGCCAGTTACTGAAGTGTTTTGTCTCACCCACCAACAGCCCCCAACAGTACTGGGAGCTGTATTATCACTTCTGGTAAGGTCCCCCATACCACTTGTTAACTGCTGATGGTGACTGGGACGTGTGCTCAAACTGAATAACCTGGTTAAATATTGTTTATGCAGAAAGTTTATGTTGTACTCTGAAGAAAATTTATATACATTGTTAGACCTGTGATGCAGTGGCTTGTATGGTAAGTGTTTCATCATACAGTCTCAGTGATTGTCTCCAAGAAAGGGACACACACACACACAAACAGGCTGTATGGTGAAATGCTTACGAGTCCCCAAGTTTATCAGTGTATTAAAATGTCTCCAGAGAATACCTTTTACCACTGATGTGATGGTTTTCTTCAAACTTATACCATTCGAATAGATTTAATTGCAAAATGGGTGGTACCTGTACTAAATGCTTGGATGGTATATTTGCAAGGTAAAAAGTTTAATGAAATCTAAAAAATCGATTTAAAAACAGAAAAAGGAAACTGAAACAATAGATCACACCTCATTAGCTATGATATGACCTGGATTAAACTCAAAAATTAATATCACTACTAGCAAAAACCAGGTTTCTCAGTCTATGAAAGGTGGCTGGTTTCTGTCTGCTTTATTCTACACTTTGGAACACTTCAGAAACTTGTTGGCTTTGGGTTGTATAGAGCATCCATTTGACTGGACAAAAGACAAAAATCTTAAAAGCAATCCTTTTTTTTTTCCAGAAACTTATTGGCTTTGGGTTGTATATAGCATCCATTTGACTTGACAATAACCCCAAAAAATTTAAATCCATGTTTGTCCTTAATTTGCACATGCACAGGAACCAGATACAGTATCTGGCCAGTTTTATCCCTTTGCAAAAAAAAGTTGCTTGCTATGATATTGATCACTGAAATGCTGCACAGTTTTAAACTGACAGTCAGATGGCTAATCTCAGGAAAATCCAACTCCTTAGTTCTTTTACTCAGTTAGCAATGACGGGAATCATAGGAAACATTTTCATTTCTATGACAAAATGTTTGTAATAGCAGGGTGTGTATCAGACTTGTTCTCTAAGACAGCAGTGTTCTACATATTGGAAGTAGGTTAATATACCATTTTGTTATTACTGTAATATATTGAAGTTGAATGATTTTACAAATAACTTTTGAATTAAATTTCTTTGGATTATACTTACTTACAGTACATACATATTAAGTTCCTCTTATTTTTTTGTCATTGATGCATTTCTTTAAACACTAAAGTAAATAAAAAATACATATACAGTATATTATTTCCACATTCAGAGAATTTGTTTAAATTCCAATCCTTTGTTCTGGACTTGGATGTAATGATAGCAAAATTTCATGGCCATATTTAAATGCATTTGAAATTTCTAAATTTTTTGTTCCTTTATTACTGCACCTGTCTGTTAAACATTTTGTCATAACAGTTTAGCCTTGTGCTTTCTTCCTACATATTTTTTAGTGTTTTAGAGTTTTACACCTTTGATAATACAGTACCAGGAAAAGAGTATTTAATTTGATATAACTTCTAGATTTGATTATCATTATTAAGCTATTCAGACTAAAGTAAATATCCAGATACAGGAATACCTCGCTATTCGCAATCCTGCTTATCCGCAATTGATAATTAACACCCCTATTCGGTATTCACAAAGCATACCCTGCTTATTTGCAAATGAAAAATTACGATACCCTACTGTAATATTTAAAACCGGTCGGGTTAGCCGCAGTTTTCATAGTCTGACGTAAGGCCCGCATCACACACGAGCTCTCTCTCTCTCTCTTTTTTTTTTTTTTTTTTGTCCCGCACGGTTTAGAAATGAATGAATTTCAATGGGACAGAGAACGTGTGTGAAAATTCACGTGCGGGATACTCTCAACCCCGCGCCTGTGCCTGTACTTCCAAACCTTGGTGTGAAAAAATCACTGAACATTCTAGAATTCTTCATATGGCGAGCATGTTTTTCCTGCGTGTCAGTTGTGGTGCAGCTATGGTAGGTGCTGGAAGTGCCTGTGATTATTTTTGCCAGATACAGGCAAACTGAAGCGTGAAAAATTCGCCATTGTGAACACCTGTCTTCTCCCACGCGGAACAAAAACGCTCATGTGCAGTAGGCCTAAGTAAAGCCTGGCGGAATGAACGTGGGTGTGTGGATTTGGCGGGTTGCCAAGCACTATAGCTACATCGCCTTACCTCTTCCCCTACTGGGCCAACCTGTGAGCTTTATTGTTGTTATTTTTCAATGGAATGCAAAAATAATAAAAATTTATTATTGTAAGGTCAAAAACATAAAGATACACATTTCTTATTTCCGTGGCAGTTAGTGTGCGATTGTGGGAGGGGGTGCAACATCAGGCTAGTGGTGTGAGGTAGTGGTGGTCACAGGAGTGTGGTGGTGGTGGGTGGTGTGAGGTAGTGGTGGTAATGGGAGTGTGGTGGTGATGGTGGGTAGTGTGAGGTAGTGGTGGTTAATATGAGGTAGTGGTGGTGGTGTGTTGGTGAGTGGCAGTGGTGGTGGGAGTGTGAGGTAGTGATGGGAGTGTGCTGGTGAGTAGTGGTGAGTGTTGGTGGTGGTGAGTGTTGGTGGTGGTGAGTGTTGGTGGTGGTGAGTGTTGGTGGTGGGGAGTGGTGGTGTTGGTGAGTGGTGGTGTTGGTGAGTGGTGGTGTTGGTGAGTGGTGGTGGTGGTGGTGGTGGTGAGTGTTGGTTGTGGGGAGTGGTGGTGGTGGTGGCGAGGGTGGTGGTGGTGAGTTGGTGGTGTGTGAGTGTTGGTGGTGGCGAGTGGTGGTGGTGGCGAGTGGTGGTGAGTGTTGGTTGTGGGGAGTGGTGGTGGTGGTGTTGAAGTGACCCATGTGCATGCGTGCTGTGAATTGGTTATTGTTATTTTTTAACTTGTATATACTTTGTTTTTTGCTGTTACATTCACACACAGTCATCATACAGAATGTTCAAAACCAAATTAAAGAAATGGTTTTCATAAGGTTAAATACATAAAGATAATGAACATTTCTTATGACTGTGGGACTTGCCCAGATTGTGGGAGGAGGGAGTTGCATTGAAGGTCTCATCCCCTCTAGTCTCCCGTGTGGTGAAACTATTGCCAACTGGCAATGCAGTATTATTTTATTTCATTTAATTTATTAGTATAATTTTTATTTATTTCTCACAATTGCTGGTACTACAGTATACACATGACCCAGGTCCCAAATAGCCTTGGATAATGAGGAGTACATATATTTCACAAAATATTTAGTGAAAGTTGCCGGCTGGGAACGCATCCCTCCTATTTACGTTAATTCTTATGGGGAAAATTACCCCAATATTTGCAGTTTCATTACGTAATTGCAATGACTGTTGGGAACGCATCCCTTGCGATAACCAGGTATTCCTGTATGTGTAAAAAGACATGAAATATCTTCATGCCACAACTTTCAGACTTATAAGCAACAATTTTATTTCAAATTTAGAGACAGTAATACTTTTGTGATGCAGATGTTGGTCCCACATCTTGGTTATCCAACAGTAGTTTATAAAATTTTATCAATAATATAACTGCTATTGACATACGTATATATTTTGGCTGGATGGTACCATATTTTAACAGTGCTAATCCAGCCAAAATGTTGGAAGAGTTTAATATATTATTAATTGTTGCCTCTACAGAGTTGGTCTCTGTTTCAAGCTCCCAGACTAGTTATGAAATGAAGATTCAAGCTGCTTAAGGTGTTATTGAGAAATTTTAATCATTTTTTAACTAAAATTTTTTATCTTGTTAACCAAGTGTTGGATGGCGAAGATAAGTGGTGAACCACCATTTTGTTGAGTTTAGTGATCATGGGAGTGGAGTGTAATACTGTACTGAGGAAAATATTGAATGTTAACCCCTTCTTTGCCACAAACTTAAACTATGATACATGTTTACCATACCCAACAGCGCATTACTGCCACAGTTTTGGTTTATAGTGAAGGAGGGGTTAAGGGTGGGAATGAAGAAAAAAATTAAGGATGAGAATATCAAAAGAGAAAAACAATAATGATACTTGTCTGTTTCCCTATTAGCCTTTGTTTTGAGGTTTCTCACCCATTTCCTGCTTTCCTTCACTGATTAGGGGTGAAAATGGAGTAACACAAAACAAAGATGAAGAGGGTGAGAAGAAGAAATGTAAACTACCAAAGAAGAAGTTTTTATTCACAGATGAAGTCAAGTAAGTTATGTGATGTGTACAGGTAAAAAAATTTTTGTTTTGGTCTCAATTTTTTCACTTGGCATGAGAATTACATCCACTATACAAGATTATATAATGTATGTACAGTACAGTATGTGATGATTTGAAGTGTACTTTGAAAGTAATCAGTAATAACATAAAATAAAATACCGTACCTGTACTTTTTCTTCTTCAGAAAACTGTTGTGTGAAGTGGTGAGTGTAAGAGTCCAGTATTGGCAGATGTTGAGGAAACGGTCAGAAACTCCCGAGGAAAATATAAAGAGGTTTCTGGATACTGAAGTTCGTCCCATCTGGCCTAAGGGGTGGATGAATGTACACATTCTCTTTAAGGAAAGTTATGAATCACATGCTGTAATTACGTGAGTATAATTGATTATTTCTTGCCTTTATGTCACATTCCTCATTTCTTGTTGAAAAAGTGAAATTGAGTCCCATAGGTAAAACTGCCCAGTAGGGACAGTGTGGATACATCTCACTGTATACGAAGCCTTTGGTAAACTGTTCTTGATAATTTTGTCTAGGGTTATTTTGAAGCCCAGTACTGTAATAGATTTCACAACTTGAACTGTTAGACCATTCCATAGGTCTACCATCCTCGTTCTTCATGATAACTTGGCGAACTTGTACTTGTGTTTCCTCTTGTTGATGGTGCGTGACATCACAAAGAAATGGCCTAGGTTCGGGTTCATGTTTTCCATCCATTTCAGGATTTTTAATGTTTCAATGAGACCTGCCTTATTGTTCCTTGTCTGAAGTGTTGTTAGTCCTAAGGCCATCAGTCTACTTGGATAATTGAGATGACATACAGTACTGGTAGTTCCAGAATCATTTCAGTCCCTCTCTGTTGCACCTTTTCTGGGGATATACATTCATACAGTACCTGAACAATAGTATGGCACCTAAAGTACTTGAAAATTATATATAAGTTCAAATTTTAAGTGGGAAGACATGAAACCTTATAAACTTGGATCCTAAAACTAATATTTTTTACATTATAATATAATGTAAAAAATACATACCGTACAGTATATTATATGTATTTAAAATCTCGCCAATTCCAATAAGTAAAACACCTTTGAAATGCTATAAATTTTCTCTGAAAAACTACAAATTGACCTTTTTTATAGTTTGTAATACCTGTACTGTACCTGACCATAACTAATTTTGGCATAGTATTTTATCCCAACTCGTGTGAAATTTTGGACAAATACTGTACGGGTACGGTAATGAAAAAAATATTTAGTCTAAAAAATAATGGCTAAAGAAGTAAAAAGACTTCTGTAGCAAGAAGACCAATAGTTATAGTAAAATGGTGATGAAAATGAATATTCTAGCATAAAGTGTAAGGTAGATTTAGAATTTTGAAATTTTGTCTTCTGAGAGGGGAGAGGGGCATAAGTTTTTACAGTACAGTATCTGTAAAATGAAAACAGTTGCAAAAAAATTAGTGCATCACTCTATAACAGCTGGGGGCAGTCCTTCAAGGGGGTGCTGGACATACACATGTAATCTGTTGTACTTGGGACACATAATATATTTACATTTCTAGGATGTTATCTAATAAATTTTTATCATGTGTGCTCTGTCTTGTAACATACCTCAGCCAAAACTTCTTATTGTCATTTTTGCTTTTGCTTTTCTTTTTCTTTAAAGGAGCAAAAGTTATATGAAGCCAGCATCTGTCAAGAAGTCAGTGTCTCTGGGAGGTGGCAGTGTTACTAATGTATCAAGCAGTGTCAGCACCCAACCACCCAAGCCTTCTCTAAGTGCCACAGTTATTCCAAAAAGCTTACCCTCACCTGTGTCTAGCACCTCAAAGGGAGAAGCAGTTAAAAAAAAAATCTCACCCGGGGAACAGAAGGAGGTGGAGTCAACGGTAAAACCAGCAACAGAAAGGACTGTTTCCTCAAGTGGTGGTTTAAGTATAAAGTCAGTAGAAAAAATTAACGAAGAGGCTCCTAAAGCAGTTATAGCACCAGAAAAATTATCGGAAACACCGAGTGATAGTGGTGATGCCACAAAAGACAACTCTCCTGGCAAGACACAATCTAAGACTGTTTCATCCATTACGTCTGTAAGTGTTATAGACTTATCGAGTGATGATGACAAGACGATGACAAATAAAGTTTCATCATCCAAATCGAATCCAGTGTCTGGTTCTAGTAAACCAAAGGATAATAACACTTCAGAAAAAGACACATCAGCTGTATCAAGTACATCAGTTATTCAGAGAGTTAATTCAACATCAGAAGGAAAGAAAGATGATAACTTGGAGGAAGAAATGAATCTTGTTATGAATGAAATACTCCAGATATCCAAAAAGAAGTCAGCCGATGATACTGTGGATAAAACTAATAAGGAGAGTGCAAACCATTCATCAGTGACCTCAACAACATCTAAGCACCAGAACTTATCACAATCTCAAGTACAACATCAACATAATATCGTTTTACCGGCACACAAACACCACACGACACAAGGTCCTACCACGGTGGATCATCCAAAACATAGTCCGCCAGTACAGCAGCAAAAACACACAACTGAGCAAACTTCACCAACACAACTCCACAAACATCCAGTTGAGCACCATTCACCTGTGCAACAACAAATACAATCACCACAACACCATTCACCATTGCAACAACAGAAACAAAATATACAACACAATTCACCTGTGCAACAAATGAAGCAAACAATGCAACCAAACTCACCAGTGCAACAACTAAAGCAAACAATGCAACCTAGTTCGCCAGTGCAACAACTAAAACAAACAGTACAACCCAACTCACCATCACAGCAACTGAAGCAGACAATTCAACCTAGCTCACCAGTGCAACAATTAAAGCAAACAGTTCAGCCTAGCTCACCAGTGCAACAATTAAAGCAAGCAGTTCAACCTAGCTCACCAATACAACAATTAAAGCAAACAGTTCAACCTAGCTCACCAGTTCAACAATTAAAGCAAGTAGTTCAACCTAGCTCACCAGTTCAACAATTAAAGCAAGCAGTTCAACCTAGCTCACCAGTTCAACAATTAAAGCAAACAGTTCAACCTAGCTCACCAGTTCAACAATTAAAGCAAGCAGTTCAACCTAGCTCACCAGTTCAAAACCAGTCACAATCCCATTCTTTGCAACAGCATAACTTACCTCATCCACCTAAGCAATCACAACAGCAGCTAACTATGCAACAGTCGCACCATCAACAGGTGCAACAACAGCAGCAGCAACCCTTAAATTTACAACAACCAAAGCCACAGCAATCCTTAAATCTTCAACCACCATTGCCTATGCAGCCACCTAAGTCACAACAGCCACTTAATTTGCACCAAAGCAACCCACAGTATCACTCCTCATCACAACATAAGACTTCAGCAGACTCCAGTCATCATAAGAAACAGTCACAACAATATTCACATTCTCATCATCAACAACAAGTGCAGACCAAACCAATAAACATCAGTGTCTCATCATGGAACAAGGGGGATAAGTCCCATAACTCAAAAAGTTCTCCACCTAGTACAAACAAGACTCATTCATCTTGGGGATCCAGTCATGAAGTATCTCCTTCCAGACAGAGACAGTCAGAAGCACCAATTGGTTAGTAAATTAATCCTCTCTGCATTTATGAAGTATGTTGGAGTGTATACGTTTGCTTCATATTTAACTACTGTAACGGCATGGAATTCTGCAAGGACCAAAATGTTTTAAAAGTTGTTTTGCATGGGATCCTGTACTTGATGCAGAAGTAGTGCATTTGCCAATTTTATTAATTGTTTTATGATAAGGTAACATCAGTAAAGATTATTAAGTTTTGTTGGCTCTTGTGTACTTAAGTATTCATTTCAGACCTTTTGTGTACTTGCCCTGCATGGTGTAAATGGTGGATGTAACTAACAAAGGTAATCTTATTATATCAATTACAACAAAATATCACTACAATGCTTTTGTAAATTTGAAAGCAGATAGTTTTAATCACATGTTATGCACTCATTTAAATACCCCAGAAGTAGCCAGGAATGTATAAAAAGACATATCTTACTCTGGTTTTTAATAAGTATGAGGCTCTCATCAAACATACGGTAAGTGTCTACCTGTTGCTCAGTCTTGACTTTAGTTGCTGATGGTAGAATTCATACAGTTTTCTTGCATTGGGACCAGACACATAGTGCAAATTGAGTTTAATATTGAAAAAAAAGATTTGAACTCACTGTCATGCCATTTCAATCATAGCTTGAGCTGGTAAGTACGAGTATGATAAGATTAAAAGTATTCTGGAAAAAAAATTTCCAGGCAATTTAATTATCAAACTTCAAAGCCAACAGCTTGCATATAATGATGACAAAGTAATTTCAGTAGAATGTTGTGTGAACCTATTTATGTCATCCTTCCTTTAATAGTTTCATCAGTCGATCCATTGGCTAACCTGAGGATGATGCACGGCCTCAGTGTGAGCAGTATTACCCACAAAAAGACATCGGCAGCTACATCAGTTTATCATAGTCCTGCTGCACTAGCCACCTCTTCTATTGGGACCTACAGTACATCAGGTATGAATCAAGATTAATAAGTGTGGTTGAGAGGAGGACAAGATGATTACTACTACAATACTGTACTGTATACAAGGGAAAGTATTTGTTGAAAGTTTTCACGTTTTCACACCACGCCAGTAGCATGGAAACACAAACTGGGTCACATCAAAGTAAAAGCTGTTATGTTGTATTTACTCAGGTAAGAATGTAGAAAGGAGTCACTGCCATTTATGGTTTATGCTTATCAGATGAGTATAACATTAAGTTTTTCCGTGAAGGCAAGATTGTAAATAGGTAAGGGACTTTCGGCTGTTAAAAAAAATGAACATATGAACCCTCTTTTTCTTGCTTGACATCCCTTGTCAGGCAGCTCCAATTACTTAAAGTTCTAGTGAGTTGTCCCTCACACTGTGACCTCATTTGACATCATTCTTGAAAGATGAAGTTAGTAAAGGTTGCCCTCAACAGGATGGAGGTCTAATTAGACCTGAGTAACCTAGTCAGTAGTTTCTGGCTACAGTCTTGATTTCAAGGCCAGTTTGCCATTTTGTTTCAGTCTAGCTGACAGCCATTGAGATTGATTATACCTGCTTTGCTTACTTTGGCAAAAGCTAAGTGAGTGCTCCTTTATTACACTTTAGGGATAATTGTCTAGGACCATACCACATCACTAATATGAGACTGTTATTTTTTTGTAACATTGTTTCATAAGGTTTGTTTACATATTAGACTCACTCTGAATTTATGTCAGCATGCTAAAAGTGATTGATGTTACCACTGACATCTGTGATTCATTGGCTGGACGGTATTCTTGAATATGTGTTGACTAGTGTTTACAGGATAGCTTTTAGCTGTCCGCGATGTAGGCTGCTCATAGGACAATCCCCAATGAGGTTTTAAGCAGTCGAGTATACAAAATCCACTTCTCCATGTATACCAGGGGGATTTTTATATGCTTCCATATGAGTAATCTCTAGACCCCAGAGTTCATTCACAACATTTTCTACCCCCTTTAATTAGTCTTCTGATGAGAAAAGATTTGGGACATCCATTCTTATTACTTCATCTCTTGCCCTTGAACAACCACGGACAGACACAATAAACGATTTTCGGGCTTTCCTGTTGGATCATTATCACCGAAAGGTCCAACCTTATTTACCTTCCGTGCTTGCGGGCACACTGTCCAAGCAAAACAAAGCCTTGGACATTTAACACTAAAGAAAGATTAAGAGTGAACAAACACTAAATCAAGATATGTATGCTGGTATGTATGCAAATATTTGTAGGGAAATAAAAAACTGCAGTGGGACATTCTGGGATTAAGTGAAGTAAGATGGACAGGTTCAAAGAGCATTACTGGTGAAGTCTTTTACTTCACATATTCAGGTGGTGAAAAGTATGAGAGGTGTTGGTATTTTTGTTAATTAACCAGAAGTTGATCAATTGTGTAATGAGATATTGGGCAGTTTCAGATAGAGTTTTGTTAGTGAAGTTTAATGCTAAACACACGGACTCAATAATAATAATATAGGTTTATGCACCATCAAATGATAGTGAGGATAAAGTCTTAGAAAAATTTTATGAAGATTTAAAGAAAGCAAAAGATGCCATAAAGTTTAATGAATGTCTGATTATAATGGGTGATTTTAACACAAAGGTTGGGAAAGGGGAAGAAGCATAAGTAAAACCACATGGGTTGGGTAATAGAAATGAGAGAGGATATATATTAATTGATTTTGTAAAAAAAAAAAATGCAAATGCATGGTTTTGAACAACACCCTAGGCGTCGCTGTATGTGGATCTCAACCCAGGACAGTGTAGATATCCAGTAATCTTGTCAGGTATCAAATAGATTACATTTTAATTTAGAAAAAAAATCAGGAATTCAATAACCCAAACCAAGACCTATCCAGGGGCAGATCACATTAATGAGTTTAGTGAGGCTTTAAAAACAACAACAACAACAACAACAACAACAACTGTGGACAAATTCAAATGGGATTTAGGCAAACTCAAACCAGAGGCATTGATGAAATATGAAATTGAAACTGAAAATAGATTTACAGTATTACTGGGAGGATGAACATTCATTTTTGTCATATTCCCTTAAATTAATCCTCAACATTAATCTAAGCAGACTGTAACTTGTAATCTTACCACTCACTAGCTGAAGGGCCTACACATACATTCATACATTCAGCTAAATGCTTCATCTCTTTTCCCTACAACCAATATTTGCACATTAGGTTACCCCCTCCATTCACCTACCCACCAATGCCGGGTAGTGGCTGGACATAAAAACACTTAGCTCTATTATGTACTGTATATAGATTGGCTGTCACTTGACATGACCACAGTGTCAATTGGGAGTACCATATACAGTAATTATATCCATAAGGAGTGTTGGAAGTCTCAGCTATCCACATCACTCATTAGTCCAATAAATTCCCAGACAAAGGCTAATGTGTATGCCATAAGAGGGTAGGGTCATCAGCAAGTAACTGTGAAAAAGGCAACAGCAATGGATAGGTCATAGCGTAAGCAGTTCCTTATTTGACATCTCAAGTTGTCACATTATCTAAGAAACTGACGGCCGATTTGCCAACATAATTTGATAAGACTCGATTAATTAACACAGTACAATGGCCAAGCCCCCAAGATTGGCTAGCACAGTAACAATAACCACTTGGTTACACACTACTATAAAATAGAATTTCAGGATCACTCCAATCCCCCCCCCTCTCTCTCTCTCTTTCTGATTCATCTGCTCTTTTTCATGAACATGAAATTTGACAGTACAGTACTGTATTGAGAGCAAAATATATTTTTTACCCATTGATGTTATTATTTCTTGTTATTATTTCCCCATAAAGAATATGTTAGAATTTTTAGGCACTTTCCTTTGAAGGCATGGATTTAACCAGATGAATATTTTCATATTTTGTAACACAGTCAAGTTATATTGACAAACTGTAAATCTAAAATCTGCATACTGGGCAGGATGTACAGTACAGTACGTACAGTCGGCCACAAGAATAAGTATACACCTGCGGTTCGTATTTGAGACAAAATATCTGGTAACTGTCCTGAACAGAACAGACAAAATCATAAAATGACCTGTAATTTATGTTTTATTCCTACAAATATGTTATAAATACATTTATTGTGAATGTTTTCCTAGTGTCTTGTGTTTACATTACAAGTACTGTAATATATTGTATCCAATGGTAGTAAACTTGTTGCCGAATGGGATTTCAGTTATCGTACAGCTCCCTCCTTCTCCCCCACTTTTTCTCTTACCCTACTTTTTGTTTTCTGATGTTTGGATTAGTAAAGGAAGTAAGAGGAGTAAATAGAAGAATAAAGGAGGGGAAACACAAAATAGTTAATATAACACGTGGGGGAGCTGAGTTTCAGCATGCGCCTGGATGTTCAGTTTCAACGTTAGCAGACCGTTTTCGGACCTTACAGCTACAGTGTGTATACTTATCTCTGTGGCCGACTGTACATGTATGTTCTGTACTGTGTACAGTATACAGTATATTCAGTGTATATATATATATATATATATATATATATATATATATATATATATATATATATATATATATATATATATATATATATATATATATATATATATATATATATATCTGAACCGCAGGTGTATACTTATTCTTGTGGCCGACTGTACGTACTGTACTGTACATCCTGCCCAGTATGCAGATTTTAGATTTACAGTTTGTCAATATATATATATATATATATATATATATATATATATATATATATATATATATATATATATATATATATATATATATATATATATATATATATATATATATATATATATATATATATATACACACATATTACCGCCTAACGGTTTCATACTTAACGCGTTTTATCATATACGCGGTGCCTCGCCAGAGCTGAACTTTCACTTAACACGGATTTTTTCCACATATACGCGGTGAGTGTCCGGCTCGAGACGCTATTTTTAGATTTGCCCCACCCTGCCTGACTGCCTGTTTTAGCTCATAAAATTCATACAAATTACCCGGCCAGAATATAATTTACATTGCTGGAATTCTTATAATTTGGTGATCATTTTGAATATAAACATCATATATTTTGCATTAGACATACAAATTTTAGATAAAAATTTTTCTCAGAGTAACTATGTTATCTTTTGTGCAAAATATATGACATTTATATTCAAAATATTCCTGGTCTTACAAGGAATCCAGCAATGTCAATTATATTATCCTAACTTTAGTTTGAGGTATTATTTATTACAAATAAGTTAAGTATTCTGGTTTTCCCACACATCTCCTTGGGACGGTTGGTGGGGGGTGGGGGGGAGGGAGGGACCGACCGACCATCTGTTACCCGTGAAGAATTTTTTTTTTTTTTATTAACTGAAGATATTTGTTTTAGCTCATAAAATTCATACAAATTACCCGGTCAGAATATAATTTACATTGCTGGAATTCTTATAATTTGGTGATCATTTTGAATATAAACATCATATATTTTGCATTAAACATACAAATTTTAGATAACATTTTTCTCTAGATAACTATGTTATCTTTTGTGCAAAATATATGACATTTATATTCAAAATATTCCTGGTCTTACAAGGAATCCAGCAATGTCAATTGTATTATCCTAACTTTAGTTTGAGGTATTATTTATTAAAATTTAGTGGTTTTCCCCCAAAAATTTCTCAGAGAGGGAAGAGCCGGCAGTGTAGTGTGAGAGGGGGAGAGTTGAGTCCATTATTTGAATGGACATTAACTGGCGACTGTATTTCTCTATTTCTCTTAAGTATTAATTGTGTGCATGTACCATCATAAAATTAAGATGTTATTTTTACTACAACATAGGTATGTGCCTTCAAAAAGTGGAGTTTGGGGGTCGGGCCGGTTTCTATTGGAATTAATCCCATATGTTCTGTTGTTCACTTAACGCGGATTTCACTTAACACGGGACCCTCTGGGTTCTATTGACCGTGTTAAGTGGGTACAACTGTATATATATATATATATATATATATATATATATATATATATATATATATATATATATATATATATATATATATATATATATATATATATATATATATATATATATATATATATATATATATATATATATATATATATATATATATATATATATATTTTTTTTTTTTTTTTTTTTTTTTATACTGTCCTTGAATTTCTTAATGCACCAATAAATTTTCTCCTGCTACTCTGTGGTTCAATTCATCTCTCATTGTTCCATTTGTTGACATCCACTTCCAGATATCTGAAACACAACACTTCCTCCATTCAGCTAACATCTATTATCCCTTCTCTTATTGTGTTCAACTTTATATGCATGAAATTTCAAAATACCCTGTAGCAGGAATTAAGCAATTGATATAAAGAAACTAACATAACCTCATAACTAAATCTAACTGAATATAATCTAAGGCTAATGTTTGGGTTTAATATTGTCATTGAACAATAAACCAGTTTTTCTGGATAGTAGTACTTCAATACTGTACTGTACAGGAAGAATCATCTTTTTTAATTTTAAGATCATTTCTTTACCTGCACATGTCTAGTGGAAGGTGCTCATAATTTAGCATCTGCTAGATAGTTACCACAGTCTTTAGGCTGGTACAGTATATCATTAATATCATTTTAGTTTGCTTGAAGTTGAACAGATGAAATATTTTATATATAATGAGAACTGTGGATACTTTTAACTTTCACAATAATGTAATATATCAAGTGAAGAGAGGGTATATTGATGTATTATATAGGAGCAAGGAAAGATAAGGAATATAGAATAGGTACAGTATTTGTAAGGCTTTGCTAAGTTCTAAATTGTATAGAAGCCTTACACTAGGATGTATTAATAGAAAGTAAAGTATCATTATAATTTTATGCTTGTTTCTAAAAATGAGGAGAGTGATATTTTAACTTTTAATAAAAACTGTTTTAACCCCTTCCTTACCAAATGGCAAGCTAGCATATGCATGTATGACAGCAGTAGTACATGTTAACTGAAGGTCTCACAGCATGCCATAAGAATGAGGTTAAAAGTTTCTGTATAGTGATGTATTTGGCTGACATCTTCCGATGCAAACTCTGTGGAGGTTATTGCAAGACATTCATGACTTATCTTTGTTAATGCCATCAGTCTCCAAGAAAAGCAGTGGAAGCAGCAGCAGTAGTACAATTAGTACTACAAATAACATCCCGGCTCACAGTGGATCTGCTAGTCTTGGGACGACTTCAAGTAAAACAAGTTCATTAAGTTATTCGTCAAGCCAGCCTAAACTTTCCACTTCATCTCATTCATATTCCTCCAGTTCATCATCCAAGCACTCCTCGAGCCAGCCCAAAACAAGGTTAGACTTTTATAGTTTGGAAACATACTTTATTTTTTATGCTTAAATTTACTTATTTTTGTAACTAATTTTTATCTGTAATATGAGTTAAGGTGTAGTAAAAGCACTGTTACATGAGAACTGGAAAGACATGACATTTAAAGAGCTTAAATGTCTTACAGAAAATGCAATATTTCATATACAGTGGCCCCCAAATTCGCAGGGGTTAGGTTCTCAAAATGACTGCGAACTGCCCTTTGGACAATTATTTATTTTACCTGTATTGCAAATGTGTGTGTGTGTGTGTGTGTGTAGACACACACAAAAAACACATACAAATAAATAATACAGTAATGGGAAAATACTCTCACAAATAATCTGAAACAAATTTATTAAAAATATGACAGTCTACCCTCAAGTCCGTGCTCTATTAATAAAGTAAGTTCCGGTGCATCCCTTCATGAACCAGTTATAAGGGAAGTTAACCCATTTATTGTAAGGCATTGATGGTTTGTACAGTTGAAGTGTAGGTAATAAATTGCATAACATCAAGTGGTTGGTGAAGTTTCCCTACCAGTATTATTGAAGTAGGAAGATACACCCCTTAGGAGGTATTTAACATATATGAAACTGAGTGATATTGGAAGAGAATGCTGATGAATGACTGAATAATCATTGCCTCTGTCATCCTTGTAATTAATCCAGACAACCACATAGGGTTATAACAAATTTATTCCATTAACATAATTCATTACTTAATAATTAATAATATTTTATGCACCCATACTTTAATATTTACATCATATTATTTGTATGTATTGTATGTAAATCTTGAGTGAAGGAGGTTGCAGACTGACATTCAGATTCACTCTCATTCGTTATGCAAACAGAGGCTATAAACATTCTGAGCTGGAATGCAAACCCCACTTATTACACTATTTCTTACAAGAATATTATTGCTTAACACTACCCTTTTTAGAAGTATAGGTACAGTACATTTTCCATGTTAAAGTGAGCAATTACTGTGATTATATATTTAGGGTAATACAGTATCTTCCTTTAATATTGCCTCTGGTGACTCAAAGTAATATCCCATCAAAAATTTACCTATTTATTCCTTTGTACTGTAAATTTTTTTTATGACTCTGCCTCTGAAATATTGATATTTCTTCCCTCGCTGAGTATAGGAACACCACAAGATCTCGTAGGTATGTACAAATCCAACACATAAATTTCTTGCTGTAAATTCATAATTTATGTTTATGTAATATAATTATTTTTTAGTGTACTATACAGCCAGTATTTGTTTTTATTTATTAACTTTTATCTCCTATAGATTATAGCACTTATGTTAATTTTATCTCATCTCTTTCAACAATGAATATCCTACCTTTGCAGATTTAACTTGTTAAGTTTAACGACCGCATTTTTACAAATTTTATCTGTGTACTTCTCCAATTTTCTCAGTTCCAAAATAAATGGGGATGGAACGGGTTCACCAAACCTTGCAAAAATCTAAAATACTGTACAGTATATTAATTTATTATCATCTCTTGTATGTTTTATAGCCTCACATCAGTCCAAAGGGACCTGTAGGCTGCACTTGAGACTAACCCATGACCTTGATGGCCGATACTAACAAAACAATTAGTTCAACTTTCCCATTTTATGTAGGTTGGATCAATTGGTATATCACGATGACTATAGGCAAGCACAATGCCATTAAGATGGTTTTTACCTATTGTGCTGCATCGCTCATCTTTTATGCATCTTTATATAATTTAGCTAAATATCTTTCTCGTCAGAAACGGTCATCCCAACGATTATGAATAAATCATTTAGAAATACATCATTATTTCAGGACGAAATTGGACAGGTTTGTAACAGCCAATCAGCTGTAAATTTTGAGAAGGGGGCAGGGCATCTTTCTCAGCTGGGAAAAAATGCACTATAGTATGCCTTACGATAGATGAGAAATGTACTATACATGCAAGAGTTATTGTAGCACCAAAACTCATTTAATTTTCAGCCTTAAGTGATAAACCTCACCTCTCAGATCCTTCTCTGGGTGAGTTGTACTATGGTTATTGTGTAGTTTAGATGGACCCATTAATATTGTGAGTTAGATTGGGTTGTAGCCACTTGACATATTGGATGAAAGTTACAAGTCTCCTTGGACACACATGAGGCTATGGAAGTTTTTTAACAAATTTTGAAGAGATTAAACAAAGAAAAATCAATTTTGTTTTATGTTGAGCAGTAAAAATTTATTAAAAATTACCATATGTATAATTCATAATGTTACTTTTATTTTAAGGTTGGACCCATATTCAGCCTCAGTAAGTCAGTCACTGTACAGCAGTATGACTCCAGACCAACAACTGAATGCCTATAAACAACTACAGCAGCATCATCAGTCAAATCAACTTACACCTCATCAACAGCAGGAACTCTGGCAGCAGGTTAGTTGATTTAATGGCTGTGATTAAAGCTAGGTGCTTGATACTCCTTTGCATCATAACTTCAGGTCATAGAATTCATCCTTATTGACCCCCATAATATTCCATCAAGGTCTTTATAAAAAGCAGTGTGAAGTATATATTTTAAATGGAATACTTTTATGATCATGTAATGCCTTTTGTTAATTGACTTTATTTCATTTTTATTTTTGTTTCATTTTATACGTTTCATTGCAGCTAAATGCGGGTGGTTACTTAGCTGGAGTGTCAAACAGTGAAATGCTTAAGCTAATGACTCAGATGGGAAAGACAATGGACTCCTACTCTTCATCCTCACAACCAGGTTAGTCTTGATCTTTCCTGGTTTTCTAATACTGTACAGTACTGTATAACCAGGTTACAGTATTGCTAGAACTATAAAACTTCATTTCATATTTTGAATAAAATGGTTTTACAATTAAATGTGTTTGACAATAAATGTTTAATCACAGACTTTGTGTAATCACAGTTCATTGATGCATTGATGTGTTAAGGAAAAAATTGAGGTTATTCACAAATTTAAGACATCAACAGAATGTTTTTATGTTTTGTGTGATATAGTTAAAATATGATGTTTTACTCGTCTCACTCTCCCGTATGTACCGTATATACCCGTGTATAGCACGAGTTCTTAAGACCAAATTTTTGGGCAAAAAGTTGGGGGTCGACCTCTATACGGGTAATAGTTTCGTTAGGTTGAAAAATATTTACCAGTAACTACCAGTAAACAATGGAAACGACGCACCAACGCACCACCCGCTGTGAGTGTCGGTACAGTTGCCAGGGCAGATCTCTTGCGTCATCATAGCAAGCCCAAAGTAGCCAAATGCATGGTATGGTATGCACAGGAGTATGTAAAACATAAAGTATTCATTTTTAAAAGTTTATTTATAGATACATAAATTTTTGTTAATTAAATTTGAAACATCAATATGATGTGAGTCAGGTCATCTACACACAGTTGCCAGTTTCAAAATTTTCCTTTTAAAATTTTAAGTTACCGAGTATTTCTTTTCCCAAATCGTTTTACAATACTGTAGGTAAAACAGTATACTATTGTGCAAACCCCACAGAAAAAAAATTAACAAATGGAGACACCAAAAATGTAAAAAAAAAAAATGCTGTCTGACTTGCAACACTGTTGGTAGGGTCAGGTGGTTCTAACGGTACCTGCCAGGACCCGGTAATCAAATTTATAACAATATCTAACCTCAATTACTGTAGTTTATCTGATGTAGGCAATATGAAGTAAAAAATACCAGTTAAAGTGAGAAATTGGAAGAGAATAAACAAGAAAGATGTTGGGCTATTTTTGGTAGGGCTGAGGGAGAGAGTACCAGCTGTTTGGTCTTTTTTGGCGGGAGAGTCACGCAAATATCCGTACTAGTATTTGTTTGGTGTCTTCTGTATTTTTAAAAATGAATACTTGTAAATTAAAAGTACCGTAACATTGTATTATATAAAAACTTGTCATATTTCTGGAAAATAAGAAGCAAGAAAATAAGAATACACCGGTAAACACAATTTCAACGTACGCTAAAATTAAAAGCTGCTTAAGAAGGGCCGATGCAAACACAAAGCCTCCACGACCAGGGCTCTGCCGTATCAGCTAGACGGTACACGTGTTTTTCGAATCGTTTTCAGTTAAAAAACTTTTGCATCACAAGTGAATTAGGATAGAATATTATTGTAATATAACAGTTTTTAACTGAAAACCATTCGAAAGGCGATTACAGTAACATCTTTTGAACGAAAGAAAGCGAGTCATTGTTTTTGTCACGATTTTATCCCACTTTCCACTGTAATACGTACGTCATTTCAGCAAAAACATTACATTTCCATATTCTCAGAAATAAATAGTAGTTTTGCTGAAACGTGATGTATTTCAATGTAAATTAGGATAAACTACATGCAGAAAACAAAAGACTTTACCTAACCTTCCGATGTTCAAGATATGTTACTCGTATTTTTAATAGTTTTCGGTTAAAATACTGTTATATTAGTGATATTCTATTCATACTGTGGTTGATATAATACCTTCACGGAAATGTAATATTTTTTGCTGAAATTACGTCCGTATTACAGTGGAAAGTGGGATAAAATTGTGATGAAAACAATGACTTTCGCTTTGTTTCGTTCAAAAGATGTTACCGTAATCACTTTTCGAATGGTTTAGTTAAAAAAACTGTTGTATTGTATTACAATAATATCCTAATTGACTTGAATAAATATTACGATACCATATTTCTGAATATTTTCATTAAAATCCATCAAAATCATTTTCTTTGTCATCGTCTGCAGCACCACACAGCTTCTCCCAGTCCTCTCCTTGAACAGGGCTAGAGGGTACGTGTTTTTCGAATCGTTTTCAGTTAAAAAACTATTACATCACACGTATATTTTACCTAAACTGCGCCTGAATGAATATATTCTCGGAAATAAATAGTAGTTTTGCTGAAACGTGATGTATTTCAATGTAAAATAGGATAAAATACATGACGAAAACAAAAGACTTTACCTAAGCTTCCGATGTTCTTGAGATGTTATTCGTTTTTTTAATAGTTTTCGGTTAAAATTCTGTTATATTACAATGATATTCTATTCATACTGTGCTTGATATACTACATTCACGGAAATGTAATATTTTTTGCTGAAATGACGTACGTATTACAGTGGAAAGTGGGATAAAATCGTGACGAAAACAATGACTTGCGCTTTCTTTCGTTCAAAAGATGTTACCGTAATCACTTTTCGAATGGTTTAGTTAAAAAACTGTTGTATTACAATAATATTCCCTCCTAATTGACTTGAATGGAAATATACAATATTTTTGTTGAAACTACCCGCGTTTCAGTGTAAAGTGTCGTAATAATAAATGGTAAACAAGTTTATAGGACGTAGTGTTTTTCTGAAGGTTTTGTTGTTCCTTTACCCTCAAAAACTTGGGTCGACCTATAAACGAGGAATATCATAAATTAACGATTTCTTGGTCAAAAAATCGGGGTCGACCTATATACGAAGGGGGGTTATAGACGAGTATATACGGTATGTATGTATATATGTTTGTATGTATGTACATATGTATGTATGTATGTATGTATATACTCTGTATATGCACTTCAATCTTTTTTCTTTTTTTTCAGGTTCTGGGCAGCATCGTGGACAGTTCTGAATGTATTTCAGGTCTGGACTGTAAAATTTATACATGAATGCCTCGCATATGGATAACATGACACCTGGAATGTACAATAGTCTACTGAGCGGTAAGAGTCCAATACAAAGATTTAGAATACTTGGATTCTCGTTGTTGAAGAATTCAAGTCTCTTAGAAGCTGCCAGTATGATGTGGGAAAGGTACATGAGCTGTACACAAGAGATAGTTAGTGAAGTACTTGTTTGTTTGTTTGTTTATATATATATTTATATATATATATATATATATATATATATATATATATATATATATATATATATATATATATATATATATATATATATATATATATATATATATATATATATATATATATAATGTGTGTGTGTGTGTGTGTGTGTGAAAATAAAATTATTATCAATATGAGATTCAAGCATTAACCAGAAGCATATATACAGAATTCATGGACCACTATTAACTCTGATAATGTTATTTTTAAACCCTGGTTTCTGGATCAGCTCAGTGGAGGTTCCCCCATTATGGTATATTATGCTAATTTTGATATATGCAAGTCTTTTACATACTGTATTATAAAGGCCCTATAAAACAGTACAGTACTGATAAAAAATTTCCATGCCTTATCAAAGAGTATGCCCGACCTGATGAGAAAACATTGTTACTGAAAAGTTATGATATCTACTTGAATTTAATAGGCTACTCTTTCTGACCGTCCTTCCCATATTTCATGGCTGTTCTATAATTTTTGAACCAGGAGGGGAATCTTACCATAATTAACAGAACATCTTTTGTCAATAAGACAAAGTTTTAAAATGTTCCTAGGTCCCAGACATGAAGATCAAGGTCACATTTGGGATTAAAGGACAAATGTGAGGGGTTTTCTGTTTGGGGAGCATTAAGCAGTTGTATTTTTTGTTTACCATTATTTATGATCTTTATAATTTTACAAGTGCAAATTTTTAATAAGTTAATTATTGCTGTAAGTTACAAGTTTTCTGAAAATTAATTTAAATATATTTATTTGTATATCTATCTACACTGTAATCTTTTGCTGAATAGACAGTTATTCAGAAACTATTATTATTCAGCCTGTTATTTATTGTATGTCACCTAATTTCTGATTTTGATAAATTATCATTGATTTCTGATAAATTAAAGACTTGAAATTTTATTGTAAAATATTGAAGACAATTCTATAAGTTTACAAGCTGTGAACAGTTGTCTTGTTATCTTATGATCAACTGCTTATGGGAAAGAGTGTTGATAAGAATATGTGTAACTAGAAGGCTGGCCTGCTGACACATGTGTACATCTGTAATATTTGTTATTGTAGACAAAAAGACTTAAATAGTATACAGGGGCTTGGAGTTCATTCTAGTGTGTATAAGATTACAAAGGAATTACATTATGTTATCATCAGTCATGTGTTATTCCTCTTTAAGTGTTTCATGAAGAGGTCTTCTTTCCCATATCATTCTTCAAATGATCTTTCTCAAGTCAGTGATGATATGTCATATCAGTAGGCTTTTGGAAAACAAGTGAATGGCTGAAGAACTGGGTGAACATTTTCAAGATCCAAGACGGACAAATTAATAAAAATTTTGTTATAATATTTATAGACAAAATTACATTGTTAATAACTAATTGTAAATGAGGTAAATTACTCTTATTTAAATATTAATGTTTATACATTTAAAGTGTTTCAGTAGGAGGCTCTGCAAAATTATATTAATTTTCATAAATACGCTTTAGATAATAATATGACTCGGGAAAATTAAAGGACAATTCCAAGGGAGAATGACTTTCCCACATTCCACCCATAGTTTTCACACCTGAAACTGTACTAATATTGGGTTTTCATGCCAAAATAAAATCTTGAAAACAGCAAATTATTTTGTAAAGTTTAATGAATAAACACAAGCAGAAGGAAACATCACCACCCATGTGTGATGTATCCAGAGGAAATGACAAATCACTTTTTTCTTTTAGGCTTCATTTGTTGGACAGTTGTAATACAATACAGTTCAGTACATAGATAAAAATAGAACGGCTATTTGAATAATGGTAATACTGTACAGTAAATTATCTCTAATGCACAACAATTACTATTCAGAATATTTCAACTAAGCGAATTTTTCTTTGACTCCTATGTTGTCCCAAACTCTGAGTTAGACCTAAAATATATATATACAGTATATATTTATAAAGCCTCGGTTGATGTGCTAAAAAATAGAATTTATCATAGATTTGGACCCAATATAATTGAAAACGTGATTTAATCATTTGTCTGTACAGTAAGACTCCTCTAAGTCTGACGATAGAGGGCTCAAGGCAATCCAACTTATCTAGACTTCCAACATATGTGCAACCTCCCCCCAGGTGCTTTCAATCATCATTTTGCTGAAAAAATTCCTTCCCAAAACAAAACAGTATACAATTACACTGACTGCACTTACTTTTATTGTAGCAGATAAATCTTGAGGTGGAAGATGATGAGGGGCTGCTTACACTTAAATAAAAATATTCACTTATATTAAATTACACTCTATGTATAGTTACATTCATTTTTACAGTAGTATGCACTTAAATTTAGATGATGTTTTAAAAAGTACTCTGCTTCAGCCCAAACTCCTCACAGATAATGTTTATGTAGACCCCAGCATCAATTGTTATGTATCTTCAGTTAGTCTTCATTTGTTAGAGTTTTGAGCACCACTCATATTCTCCCACTGGTTTTCTGTGGTGTTGCTTTGCCTTTATTTGCTTTAGAGGCCATGAATACACTAGAGAAGCACTAAATACAAACAAAACAGAGTGTGCACAGCTCAGCAGTGGTCAAGACAGCAAACATGCAGGAACTGCCACTTCATCTAATTGCTGCTCTACATGACCCTCTCCCCTCAAGCCGGAGCTCATCCAACTTATGGGAGTTTCTAACTTGCTGAAATTCAACTTAGAAGCTTCTTACTGTACAGTATATGCAAATACAAAACACACTAACTGCTGTATTGCACTTACCAAAGCTGTAAAAGTATTAGTAGGTGGATGAGGCACTCACTGCACCAGACAGCACTATTGCATTTAGTCTTTATGCCAAGAAGATTTCTGAGTTTGTTGTGGCACAGTGAATACACACACATTACTGTGACACATTAACAAATACTGTTTATAGTGTACTTGCACAGTTTAATAATGTTAAGAGAGCAATCATAGCACAGTTGTCTATGATGTAATCTCAGCGCAATCACTATTACCCCCTGCATATCACAGGTAACAATGATCTAATTGTCACTAATACAATTACACTTGCAGTGTCTAAAAAAAATATTGATCCTGTAATCTTTTTGACTTATAACAAAAATACAAATTAATGATAAACAAAATGATTGCAAATTTTTATGTTACACTATTTAACATTGTTATGTTTCCCTGATTTTAACACCAGTAAATTTGGCATGGATCCAGCAAGCGTTTGGAAATAATCGCAACCCTTATTCACTGTCCAGATGTGTTTGAGCAAAGTACTGATGATTTGTTCAATGTTAACAGCTTTCGTTTCATTTGATAATATACATTCTTTATCAGTTTTAGGTCCAGTGAGTTCATAAGCCACTCCAACATACGAGGTGTGTGTGTTGGTGTGTTTTTTTCGTTTTTATGTTGCATAGTGAAATGGTATGTTGTGCTTCTTTTGCAGTCGGTATTGAGTCATCCATTCTAATACATCCTGATGGAGGTTGTGGTAGGCTTTCTTCATTTCTGCTGCAAATATTTTCAGGTTCTTTATCACTTCTCATCTCATAAGCATGTCAGTGGCCTTTTTATCCATTTTATGGAAAGTACCAATGGAATTGGAGTTGACCTTTAACTTTATTGATATTATAAATAGGAGAGAGAAGAGTGGTTTTCATTGACCCGTAATGCATCCACGAGTTCTGGAAAAGGTCGTCCTGTCAGGTAAAAAAAACGATCTTTTTTTATTTTTTGGCTTAATGGTGTATTTTGTTGTCAAAATACCAAAAAATTGCATAATTTTGCATTCTGGGCTTTAAACTTACTGCTACACATCAATGTGTGTGTGTGTGGTCTCAGGGATTTTCCCTGGGCCTTTCATGCAAGGAAGCCAAATAAGAGAGTAAAATTATTTTTCTCAACTTTGCATTTATAAATATTTTATTTCTTTCTTCTCATTAGTTCTCACATACTCATGGGAAACTATTTGATAGATAAAAAAAATAACCCTTAAGCCACGGGTTAGGGTGCCGCTGGGAGCGCACAGGGGTAAATCGAGAGAAATCAACTTTCCAAAAATATTTTTTTATTTTTATAAATGATAAAACAATAAAAAGAAGTAAGAAAACTATTTTGACCCCCTAGAAACTTCCCTGGCAGTGCGGAGGGGGTGGACAGCTTGTTGGCTGTAAGCTGTTGTCACTCGTGAGCAACACAGGACATTCATAAATACAGTGGCATTTTTATAGTGGTGATGCTCCAGTGACAATGCCTTCATGCCATTTTAAAACAGTGGTGACACATTATGGGTCAAAGGAAAGTTTAATCGATCAAAACTCTTCCCAAATGCAAACTCCACTTTGCCACAACACTGTATCTGTGAGTACCATTATGGTAAATTAATAAGAACATGTAAATTTTTATTATTATGCTAAAACTAGTTTTTCTTGTCATGGAAAAAAAAGTACTTTACTGTATAGGCAATAAGATTACCCTGAATCTACAAAGAGTGTTTTACACATCTCAAAATCAACAGTGACTAGATGAAAATTTCCATAAAATATCTACCGCACTAAAAGTAGATGATGACTTCAAACTTTCATTGCCTTGTTTGATTTTTTTAAGTATATTTTTTGGGGTAATTCGTTATTCATCATAAAAGAATGTGTGACTGTAGTTCATATATTCATTACCTAATAAAATTTTTGCCAAGAAATTTAAATACCGTATGTGACTTACTGCTTTTTATAACTTGAGTTGTGATCTTGTAAATGGTAAAAGTATCCTACTCAAATTATCAGTGAATTTGGTACACAAAAAATGTGTACAGTACACATGGGGATGTGTACTGTACACATTTTTTGTAGTATCTTCCCTGACTACTAAGATAGTGAGTGGCTTCTAACCGTGGCAAGAAATTTTATTCTGTCCTTAGATCTTTTTTTTTTTACTTTTTTCTTTTTTTTTCCAAAAAGGTGTTACCCTGTAGCATGCTTTTGAGTGGAAGTGATAGCA